TCTGGGAGTTGAAGTCCACTCATCTTAAAGTGGCCAAGTTTGGACAACACTGATCTAAGTAAACAACCTATCCCCAATGTCCAGGATAGATATGTGGCCCACAGACCAAGTTCACAGAAATCTAGCCTTTGGTACAAGTAACACTAGGCATTGCTCCTCTTAAATGAAAGTGTAAATGTATTTACATTCCCTTATCAGCGTATAAGACTCAACACCTTGGGTCTTTATTGTGGGCTTTGATAGATTTAGATTGTTTTGTAAATTCTGCAGTTAGGGTACGTTGAGGTGAGTGAGTTTTTGTTTCAGTCCATGCAGTTTTTCAAACCTCCTTTTACTCAAGGCCAGCTAGAGGGAAGCTGGCTAGCAATTAGCTGCCTTCAGATGACCTTGAAAATCTGAGGAGGATTGGATCTGGTTAGTACTACGATGGGAGACCATCTGGACACCATAGGGCTACGAGTGGAAAAGCATCCTGCAATGGCAAATTATTTCTGTATTCATTTAGAAAATTACATCCATGCACTCATGATTATTTTTAGGATCCAAGAGTTCTTTCCCACAAGCTAAGCATTCACTTTCCTGGGAAAAAGATTCTGAATGGCCCATGCACAGTGTTTCACTGAATAAGGGGTAAAATAAAATACGACAACCCAAACTGACTTATTACTATGAACTGATTTTAGCATGCAGGTGATGGGAGATTTTGGGATTCTGTGGTTTCATTTGAGTTTTAAAAGCCATGAAAAGAGAGTTAGCTTCTGTAGATCTGCTCCCTCCCCCTTCCCCCCCCCCCATATGATTTAGAAGTGCCATGATAGATTTTGTTTTTTAAAAAAATATCTTGCAGGGATATTGGAAAAAAAAATCTCTGTTCATTATATTAGAAACTGAATTGTAGGCAGTAGATTCAGGATAATGCTTCTCATAATCAATTAAGATAATTTATTGCACATTAAGTGCTTGCAGTTAATAGCTTAGATGACATTAAAAGGACAAATGCACCAGTAAGTCAAAGCAAAACCTTCAGGTTTGGGGGCAGTATTTCACTGAAGGCCAGTTCTGAGGATGAGCAGAGAGCTATTATCTTCATATCCAGGTGCTGATTGACAATTGTGGGAACCAGGGTGCTGGAGTAGATGAATCCTCAGTTGGAACCAACAGAATGGCTCACGTGGCCTGTGGTACATATTAAAAAGGAAACAGTTGATACCTTACTAAATTTCTTAATCAGACAGGCAAATCAGTTTGATGCTGTTTCCTCAGACGTAGCAAGCCTCTATTAACGCAGATGGTGGTTTGTGCTACCCAGACTGACCCTTGTGCTTTATGCAAGGGAATGCACCACTTCTTGGCACAAGTTTCCCTGTTCTGCAGTTATGTTGATAAGCTAATATGTGTTTTGACTCTGCCAGTGGAGGATTCCCTAGAGTACAGTGGCATGCAACCAAAAGCACACCAGGCAATAAAGATGTAACAGATTTTGTGGGATGAAAGCATGCATGTGGCGAATTGGTATTGGCCATTTATCTGATGCTCTTGTGGTTTTTCCTTCAACTAGTTATTCAACTGAGAGTAAATATTCAGTATAGCCCAGGGATGGGAAGCTTGTGACCCTTCAGATATTGTTAAATGACAGACTTAGCAACACAATAACCATGCTGCTTGAGGCTGCTTGGGTGTATAGTTCAGCAACATCTGGAGATCCACATGTTCCCCTCACTTCTTGTGCTAGAATAAACTATAGACACTTTATAGAATTTAAAAATCTAGGAAATAAATGCTTTTAGAGGCCTTTAGATTGTATGTACAGTATGTATGTATGTATGTATGTATGTATGTATTTCAAACAGCTCTTTGTGACATGGAAGATAGCATTTGAATTGTAGGGAGATTAAAAAGTAGTTTGTGGGATAGTGTCAGCTGCTAGAGGAGCAGAAAGTCAGAATAATGAACTGGGTTAAAGCAGGCCCCTAATGTAAGCCTATAAGAATTATATTTTACCTCCTGGTCTCTTGCTATTGTTTCATGCTCCTTGGTGTTCACTCTGCAAGATCAAAACCTTCCCAAGATTCTTTTATATCTTAATTTGCCACTTGTGCCATCTTCCTCTCTTTGAAATCTTTGAAAAATCATTGCTATATTCACTGCTTTGTACTCCTGCTGAGCTACACCATAGCGTACCAATTAAACTTTTCCGGATTTAGAGTTTGGATTTAAGAGTGAATATCTCATGAGGAGGACCTAAACACAGACAATAGTAATAGTTCTAGCTACTTTGTCTTTATACCAACTAAAATTACCTATCCATCTACTCCTGTATGCTTTCTGTATTTAGTTGCAGCAGTTCAAACATCTTCCATGGTTGGGTTTTGGTGTTTTGTTTTGTTTTTTTGAGCCAGTGGACACGTTTGATATTTCAAGAATCCAAAGGGTGTTTCCACAAAAAAACACAGTGGCAGTTGGAATGGGCCCAAGTGGCCTCACAACCAGCCAATCTAGTCCCTGGGCAGTGGTGACAGCCTGAGGACCAGCAGCGATGGGTGAAGAACTGACTGCGACTGCCTGAGTGACAGCATAGGGGCCTGGAAGACGGCCGGATTGCTAGCTGGGCAGTGGTAATGCAGCTGAGCAGTCCGAGGAGGCAGCCAGAGTGGTGGTGCAGCCTGAGGCAACAATCCCAGCAGCCCCTCTAGCCTGTCTAGAGAGTGTGTGAGAGTTGGGCATCCCTCCCTAGTGTGAGAGACAGGGAGGGGGCCCGAGGGTGGATATGTGGAGTATGCATGAGTGAGTGAGTGAGTGAGTGTGGTGAGAATGCTCG